GTTGCCTGTTTATGTTCACTAAATCCCTGCCCTGTGAATCTGTAGCTGCTAACAAAACATTAGCGAAAGGTCCAGAACAGAGGTGGTATTCAGCAGGTTCTGATCAGTTCTGGGGAACCGGTAGCAGAAATTTTAAGTAGTTCGGAGAACCGGCAAATACCCCCTCTGACTGAAGATTTTACAGTATCCTTCCCCTGCCATGCCTACCAAGCCACGCCCACAGAACCGGTAGTAAAAAATTTTTTGAATCCCACCACTAGTCCAGAACCACTATAAACTTACTTTCAGAGAAATCTAATGTGATTTAGATTGCAGTGAGGAAACTTTGAAAGCCAAATTTTCAGGCAACGAGGAAACTTTGCAAGCCATTATATTCAGAATTATTCTTTTTTTTACTTATTTCAAATGCACTTAAAACTAACTCCAGAAAAATCAATGTCCAAGTAGCCTGTCTCTAATTAAATGTCTGAATGACCTTAGGGAAAGAGGGGAAGAGATGCTGCTTAGGAAACAATCAGATGGGAGAATCAGAAGCCCCCAGTGACTTAACAATAGAGAAAGAAACTGAAGAAAGATCTACCCTAATGGACCACACAGTTAAAAGTTACTGTGGGAAGTTTATGTCTTTAGACTTGCAGGATTGTGTTAATGTAACTTTACCATGAACTAGAATTAGTCATCTAGTCCTGTTTCATGTCTGGTTTACCTGGGAGGACTGACACAAGCAAACCAAAGCAGACTTTGGCATAAAAAGAATTTAATGGAAAAAAAAAACCCAATTTGAATGCTTGATAAATTGGAGTATGTACTCCGTACCTATTTTTTTTTCCTGCTGATAGACCTTTCAGGATTCTTTTAAAGATGAATCCATTGCAGTCATAAAGGCTACCCTAAATCTTAAAATCACCAAAATCCTCAAACGTGCCCTTACAAAATCAGCAGGACAAACCAATGTTGCATGAGTGACTTTTTTGTATTTATGTTCCATCTGTTTTTCTTTTGAAGGGCATGTATATATTTAAGCTCACAGACATGAAATTTAACCTTACTAAGAAAAAACTTTAGAAAAAGGGTGTGGTTTATCTTCACGGAAAGCAGTCAGTGGCATGATATGAAGGGGAAATAGTAAGGTCCAGTATCACACCCTACGTTGCCATGTGTTTCAAAAACGTTCCTACTGCTTTGCTCTGAAACTCCATTCCTTGTTGACCCTACTCCGCCTAAGTCAGTTGTACCCAGGACATGACCCATTTTTCCTGTTTTGTTGGCCAAGGAAGGAAAATCCAAACTATATCATTGCAATTACAAGAGCTAAGACACCCTCTAATCACACCACCCAAAGCAGCACAGAATGTTTGAATTAGTTCCAGTCAAAATGACCTTCTTTTGATTCACGCTAGAACCAAACCAGACCATTCTGTGTTGTACATAACTCATAAAACATACAAGTTTTGTTTTGAGTACAAACCGTTGAGGTTTCTTTTGTAAACTCTGCTACAGACTTCCATATGAAGGCTGGAGCTTTTGTAGATGTAAATAATAAAGACGGTTTGGTCTGTTGTTTTTAAAAATGGAGCAAGTCAAAGTTATATTTATTCCAAGACAATCTTTAAATCAGAGGAGCTTGAGAATTGTTCAAGATGGAGCATGATTCGCATTTTGTATATTAATAAGTAGAAGGGAATACTGTTAATTTAATGGTTTTCCACTTCTCCAGCTTTTGCAAGGCAACTTTCCTTTTACAGAAATTATCAGTGTGTAGGAAATGTGCATTTTATGATAAATCACACACAAAGTTTGTATTGAATATTAGTTTATAGTAGAATATAGGTACTGTTGTTCTTGGCTTATGAATTGGGATCAGGATTTCCACTGCTAATCAAGGCAGTTGTTAAGTGAGCCATGCCTGATTTTACAATCTTTTTTTTTTGCCATGATTATTAAAAGAATGACTGAAGTTGTTAAGTGAATCGCATTGTGGTTAATCAACTCTGGCTTCCCCCATTGACTTTGCTTGCCGTAAAGATTACAAAATTGACATGATTTGAAACGAGTGTGTTCTTCATTTGAAACAATTTCAAGTTGAGTAGACATCAAAGCCACTTTGACAGTAAGTGCCAATGTGGTATAGTGAGATATAGCTTAGATTCCCATCTGCAGAAAATCAGATTTATTCATCCTGAATGTTGAAAACTTTCCTTCTGCTTGGAAGAATCTGGAAGAAAAGAAAGAGTTCCCCTGAATTGTCTCCTGGATAAAAGGATACAAATCTAACAAGAACAATGTAAATTGTTTCTGGAAAGCTGGTATATGAACAATATTTTCTTACTAAAAGGCAATAGAAGATTTATATCTTTAGAACTACTGTTTTGAAGTTTAGCTGCCAAAATGCCTGGAGATTGCTTCCATTAGTGTAAAATAAGTTATCATTTGTATATCTGTTTGAAACAGCTATTACATTTCCAAGTATCAACTTAGAGGCAGTGCCTGACAAAATGCTTATAGTTTTTTTTATTTTTTGAATGCCTGCTAAGCTTTCTTTTGTTAATTTGAAATTGCACCCTCTGCAAATTGGATATTTACTCATGGTATGTCCTCCTCTGCTTCTGTTATCTGTCTTTTGTGATGTTTACTGAGAATATTTGATACCTATTGCCAGCTACTCAGCTCAACTTTTGGAGTCTTTCTTTGGGTAGTTGAGTTCCCTCCAGCCTAATTTCATCTCCCATTTTCTTACTAGGTTCTAGGTTTCTATGGATGTTATAGTAAAATCGGGATAATTGAATCAGAAATGTGATTGTGTCCCTTCTCTCTGTCCAGAGGATTTGGTCTTACCTAGGCAGCGATACATCTGTCTCAAATTTGCCTCCAGCAATGGACAGTGCTCCTTGTTTCTAATATACTTTTCCTCCTCTTTGAGTGTTCCTGAGGTTGGGTGACCATAATAAGCCCAGTCCTATTATGATTCAAGCTGTTTTTGCATGAAAACTTTCTATGATGTTACTGTAGCTAAAGATGACTTAGCTTCACAGTGTAAGCATAATAGGCAGTGGTGTCTGGCGAGAAGACCAAGAATGAACCTATGGTGGATTGTAGTCTGGATTCTCAGGAGGGAGGGGCTGCATTCCAGAGGAGCAAAAACCAGTGAGGTTTAGATAGTTTGAGTGGGAGGAAGAGAGTCAGAACAACTCTTCCTTAGGAATTCCCAGAGTATATGTTCAAAGACGTAAGACGTGGGTCTCCAAACTGCCATTTTTAAGACTTGTGGATTTCAACTTCCAGAATTCCTCAACCAGCCATACTTTATTCTGGGAATTGAAGTCCACAGATCTTAAAATTAGCAAGTTTGGAGTTTTCTGATGTAAGAAGTAGTTTGGCAAGATTGCTGCCTACGGGCGAGGAACAATAAGAGAAACTGCTTAGATGAACCTCAATGTTTCTTTGCTGGGTTTGACTTAACCTGACAAGCTTGTCCCCATTGCATATGATATTTGAAACATACAAATAGGGCAGAGCTTTTGGTAGATCCTGTGACCATCCCTGGTCACCATTAACGCACTTTGAAACAATTTCAATTTCAGAAGTGCTACTTCACAATTTGAACAAATTCCTTTAAAAATTCTGTTTGTAAAAGATTGGTTGTTTTTAAGTGTAGCACAATGAAAATGTTCTCACTCCTGTCCATTTCAGTTTTTTTCACTTGTTACCAACTAAAGTGGATAGTGGAAACTACTAGCTGATACTTCTGTAAGCACCCAATTTCTAAGTATTCTTTGAACCATAACAATGTATATGATGAAGCTCCAAGCTGGAGAAAAACAAGTATTAAAGTTATTTTAGGTTGGGGCAATGGGCAACATCATCTGTAGTTTATGAACATAATCTGCCATCAGTTTTTTACTTCATTGTAAAGATGAAACACAATAAAATTAATTATTGAAATTAAATTATGTGACCTTTAAGTATGCTAATGCTCCAGTTTTTCTGACAGTATGATCTTTAATTCACAAGAATTGTTATTTCTCTTGTTTTCATGTTTTTAAGATGCTAAATCTGATGCTAATTTATGTTAGCCATGGTGCCATAATATTGTTTAGTGTTCTGTCCTTTTTGATAAAGAAGGACATTTTTAGCTCATGGTTGAAATGCAGGGTCCCCTCATTCTGTCCTTTTTATAAGATTTATAAGGTATAGTATTAATTTTACTTGTCTTTTATATTTAAAAGCTATTAGTAGAAGCATGGCTATTACAATTCTCATTAATTTTACTTGTCTTTTATATTTAAAAGCTATTAGTAGAAGCATGGCTATTACAATTCTCATTCCATACCAGGAATCAGTATCCTGAGATTTGCTATCTGACATTCAAAAATTAGGGTAGTGATGTCAAGAATCTCCTGACATTCTGAAATATTTTTTGTAGAATAAAGTGGGACTTTTAACAAGAGCCCATTTTTTAGACCTTTAAAGGGGACATCTTTAGATGCTCATGTGAGTAAAAAAAAAAAGAGATGTAGAGCCAAACAGTCATGAAATGCTATTGATATTTGTATAAGGCTTAAAGATATATAAATTCCTGATGCAGCTAACTGGTAATAAGGCAGCTAATTCTGTTAGGTTAAGTAATAGCTGTAGTGGACAAGAAACATTTTACTGATTGAAAAATCTAACTAAATAGAATCAGACATCTTGACATATTTTAGTTTAATAATTATAAATAATTTAAAAATCCTTTGTTGGAATAATGGCAAGTTTACAGTTAGGAATACAGTGTTAATTGTTATAATAATGTGTATAATGATACATGCATTTATGAAAGGACAGAGCTTGAATCATAATTGTGTGAGACTGGTTTTGTTCTTTTTTGTCTGTCTTGATCTATAGAAATCACTGTTTAGTATCTGGGTCTAGATTATCAATTATGGTAATCAGAATATCATGATTTTGTATTCTTTTATAAACCTTTTAATTTAGATTAAGTTGTATCTTTTTCTCAACAGATCTTTGTGTACACTTGTATGTAAATGGACATACTCCTCAGAAACTGGCTGGGATGATAGCTTTTGGAAATCAATTGGATTAGAAGATATGATGGCAAATAAATATTCAAAAATAGGTAATATACAGTATTGAATTCTTTTTAACTGTAGGATTCAGCAAGATATTTGAAGGCTAGATAAGAGTCCATTCAAAAGTAATGAAAAGCCATGTTTACTATTAAATTTATGTGTTTGGGGGACTTTATTTAAGAAAAGGGTTGTACATTTTATGGTAGAAAATTGCTGGAATTTTTCTGTCTAAATTATGACAATGTATACTTACTTTACAGAATCTGTGTACCTGACTAGAATCTGGTTAAACTTTTTGATTCCTGTTTTTAGTTTTATTTTTGCCAAGGACTAACGTAGATGTAACTCATAAGTTACACTTTATTTAAGAAAAGGGAGGGTTAATATGTGTAATATGACTTATTTTGGCTTAATGTTTGCAGTGATATACTGCAAGTACAGTGTAAGTAATTTTTAGATCTATTTTGAATGCATTCTAGGAAGCATTAAATTTTCTCAAAGAAATATGAATATAGATCCCTCCTGTTTTCAACATCACAAGAACCCTATGAGGTCGGCCAGAGAGAAGGGAACTGACCCAAGGACATGATATAAGCTTTTGAAGTTCAGGGTGGAGTGGAACCAAGGTCTCCCTACTCCGGTACCTTAATTGCTACATTATACTGTCTCCGTAATAAAGCAATGTTTCTTTTAAATGTAGATTCATTTAAAACGTGGCGGGGAAAAACAAAACAAAGCATCCAATATTTATTCATGGAAAAATAAATGAAAACAAAGGTCTAATGGACACTTTATTATTGAGGGTTTGTGAATTTCAGGCAGGGACTATCGCATAGAAGGCCCATTGGTGTGTGTGTTACAAGGTCAATTCTGCACCTAGAGAATTATAACTATGTGACTGAATAGCAAGTTGAGATTGCTGCAAGACTATCAAAATGGATAAGCTTGACATTGAGAAACTGGAATATTTGGTCTGTTCCTCTCTTTTCAGCAAACAAATTCTAACTGTGGATAAAATCTTCAAGTACTGAGATTTAAGGATGCTATTCAAATCCTAAAATGGTAGTTGACAGAGATACCTACCAAGGAGAGTCAAGGGAGCAGTAAACACTGAAACCCCCCATCCTGTGGGATATTTGTCACGGTTGAAATCTTAATCCAGTTTTCATAGAAGTTCTCTCAGTCAGTAAAAAGATAAATCAAGGAATTTCTAGCCACTATGTATACTATTTGCAAGGGAAAATTAGAGTACAACCATGATAAATTGATATTTTCCTTGGCTTTCATTAAACATGACCCTACATTATGATTCTAATTTATGGCTATGCCCTGGTCAAGTGTTAGATATTATCCCTTTTTTTGTACCTCTTCACAACAGTCTTCCTTAGAGTATGCAAGGAAATGCCACTTTCTAAGTAGTCACCTGTGACAAGGAAGGCATGGTCCCATTTCGAGGTAAGGAAAGTGAAAAGTTAAAGGCTTGCTGTGGCATGTATATTCCAGAAAATATTTAACAAACTGAAAATATTAATAAAAAGCAGCATCAAGTGCCACTGCTTTTCCCCCCACACCAATCCCAACACACCAGGAATGAATAACAACCCTGAAACTACTTGGTAGTAACCATGCAATCTTCTTTTTTAAAAAAATAAAATTTTTATTTTATTTTCAGAGCTGAAATACAAAATAGAAAAGAAAGAAAGAAAGGAAAACTAGAACCATGTGCATAAAGACAAAGTAACAAAGATACGCAATCTACTTTGTCATTTTGTCATCTTGCACCCCTTCTGTGTCGTTCTCCAAAACAATTATGTGAATCACAGATTGCTCACTCTACATAGTACAGAAGGGTATTTGATTTGGACTGGTATACTGCCTGCTGTTTCTAGTAAAAAGTCTGGATTTTGAAAATGTGATTAAGCTGATATAATTTAACATGCTTTGTGAACTCAAGTATAATTATTTTACCAATTTGAGCCAAAGTTTAATGACAGCGTTAATCTCATTAACTACACAGTACTTAAAATGAATTTCCATTTAAGACTGTAATGCTCATTTGGTGAAAATTTTCCAGACTAATTGTAATCAATTTTCCTTGTTCACTTAATGGGCTTTTAATGGTTATGCTAAGCAGCCATGACATGAATGGGAACATTAGCATACATTTTTAAAGAATTACTTATTTTAAAATACCCTTCATAGTTAATCATTTAGATTTTATTTTTCAGCCGTAGTGTAATTGTCTAAAATAAAAGGAAATCAGAAGATACTGGTAATAAATGTATGAAGGTTTCTTGTATTCAATAACTTTTGTATGCTACTTTTTATTTACATTACGTTGAAAATTTTGTATAGGTTGTTCTTCATTTAATGTACCACTAATAAAGAGTAATATCATATAGTAAAATCTCTAACAAATGAGGAAATTTGCATGCTTTAGCAAACTTTGCCCTAAAAGTGAAGGGAATTGTACTGTATATTTCCTGCCTTAGAAGTTGTAGATAGGTTTTAAAGTCAGTTAGCAAGGCATAGATTTATCCATAAGAAAGTACTTCTGGCCAAATTGTTCACAAGAAATCATGACCTATCTGTTGAGCCCAGTTTGTATGGCTGTCCTCCCTCTGGAATATAAATTAGAATCTGCTTCCTGTATTTGTTCACTTAACATGCACAGTTTTGGAAATGGAGGCTGAAACATGAAAACACGGTTGCAGGAATTGGGTATGCCTAGTTTAATAAAAAGGACTAGGGATGACATGATAGCAGTGTCCAATATTTGATGGGCTGCCACAAAGAAGAGGGGATCAACCTATTCCGAAGACACCTGAAGGCAGGACAAGAAGCAATGGATGGAAACTAATTCAGGGAGAGAAGCAACCTGGAATTAGGGAGAAATTTTCTGACACTTGGAACAATTAATCAGTGGAATGACTTGCCTCCAGAAGTTGCAGATGCTCCAAATACTGGAGGCTTTTAAGAAGAGATTGGACAACCATTTGTCTGAAATGGTATATAATTTCCTGCCTTGGCAGGGGTTGGACTAGAAGACCTCCAAGGTCCCTTCCAACTCTGTTACTCTGCTTCACCTATTTTTCCACTTTCCAAAAGTGGGAGAGAAAAATCCCTGTCTGTTGGAAGTACAAACAATGGCTGTTAAAATGACTTCTTTGAATACTCCAGGTTACTTTCATAGGAGAACATTAGATTTTGGCTCTGTTCTTTGATGTCATCTAATATAGTGTTTCTTAAACTGTATTTCATGGAACACAAGCATTCTCTGAATAACTTGACATCTTATTAACATGTTTCTTGAATTGTTTCCAAGATTTAAGCCAACATTTTTGTGGATTTTAGATCTATTCAGTATCAAAGGAACACTCATCATAGTAGAAGGGAAGATATTTGCAGATCTTTCCTTAAATGTTACACTGAAACCATTGAATTAAAAAGTAATCATTGAAGACTTTTGAACAAAAGTTTAGCCCAAATATGAGCTTTTAAATATATTTTTTTCCTCCGACATATCTTTGTGAGACTGGGTTTACAACACTTATTGTTACCAAGACCTATTGAATTGCTGTGTTGATTCCTTCTAATGGTTCCAGTCATTGACAAAATATAAAATCATATGTAAGCTCATGAAACCAATTGCAATTTACAATCTATTATATGTAAAGAAAAATTAAAACATTATTAAAATATAAAATAATTCAATACCTTTTATTCCCCCCTCCCTTTTTAAAAAGAAATAGTCATAGGTATTCCTTATTGAAAAGTTTAGTGCTGTAACAATGATCTTGCCAATTGGGATAAATTTGATTTTGAACAGACCTGTTTACCCCCAGTAGAAAGCAACTGAAAGCTTCAATGCTGGATCAAAAGCAGAGAAATTCCCCATGTGATAATCGCCTTGGGGTTTTGACACCCCCCCCCTTTTTTTTTTTACAATTTTACAGATGCTCTTAAATATTGGTCTTTCAATTTTCCCCTCCTCTGCTTAAATACAATCCTAATAGCAATTACCTTTTGGCAATTATTTCTTTCTACGCTAAAAGGATACTACTTATATGTTTTAGCAGAAATTTGAGCACCCTAATGGCCAAGTTGCCCTGCGGAGGAGAATTTTTTTTTATTTTTTAGCTTAAATAATTTATAAAGCTCAAGCTAGAGTTTGAATACAATATTTATATTGTTCATTTCAAGGACAAGGAAAGCGCTTTCCATTTTAAATTACTAAACCCATATGTGCAAATAAGAAGTTCATTTATATAATTGACAGTTTGAGATAGCAAAACTAGGATACGGTATGTAATAAGCCACAGCTGTACTATGTGGAAATGATAATTAAGTATTTTGAAGCTAATTCTTCTACACTTAAATTGTAAATGTATAAACAAATGTGAGCAATAGATTCCATTAGCTTTTTATGCTATCTCTGATTTTTGTATTTTGCGAGTTCATTTTATCTTACTACATAATGTGGAATGTTGTGGATTTTTTTTTCTACTACAACTTGATTCCAAAGATTTGTGTAGTTGGATGCGTACAAAATGGGCACAGCATACAAGTAATTAATATTGTCTTTATGTATACTTCAGAGAATTTGAGAACAAGTTATTGGATGCAACAGCAAAAGAGATTCAAACTGTCTTTTTCTCCAATTGCCCCGTACAGCGTTTTGGTATTCCCTCTGGGTGCAGAGTTCAATGGGTGATTCTTTTCCCCTATGATTCACTTCCTTCTTTCTAGATGGAACAGAAATCATTCAGAGAGGTTTTCTGGGGCTCAGTAATAATGCAACAGGGAGCAAATAAAAATTTAAAAGCTTGTATAGCGGCCTGCTTGAATAACCATTGGATGTCAAACTGTACGGCTTAGTTGTTCCTGATGAACTAAGATATGCTGGATTTCTATTCATGCATAGTTTCTGTATTTTATTTTCACTTGGCATCATCCAACATCAATATTTTCAATATTTTTGTTTTGTGTTGGAAAATTCAGTCGAATTCAGATATTTATGGAACTGCTCAACCGTAAAACCTACACT